GTTTTGATGATGCAACTGTGCTTTCTAGACTTGTTGCTGTCTTCCCCACGGTTGAACCTGTGGTTTCAGAAACTGCTGTTGTTGAGAGGGTTACTTGCCCAGATGTCACTTTGATAGGTGTTGTTGTCTCTACATTTGGTCCTGTGGCTTGTGACGTGGTACCTTCTGCAGATTTTGTTGAACTTTCCTTACTTGTGGCTGAAGTTGCTGGTGTAGTTGTGGTACTGGTGGAAGGCTGAGATGTCCCAGTTGGAATTTCTGGTTTGGTTGTCTGGATTGCTGCTCCTGTGGTTGATGTTTCAAAGACAACTGTGGTAGAGGCTGTGACTGGACCTGTGGTGACAACTTTGATAGGGGTTGTGGTCCCAATTTGACCAGTTGTACCTTCTGATACACTTGTTTCTTCAGGTTTCTTTGTGGTTATACTTGAAATGGTGGAAGGTCCTGGTGTAGATGTTGTTTCCACACTGGGCTTTGATGAAGCAAATGTGCTTTCTGGACTTGTTGCTGTCTTCCCTGCTGTTGAACCTGTAGTTTCAGGAACTGCTGTTGTTGACAGGGTTACTTGCCCAGATGTCTCTTTGATAGGTGTTGTTGTCTCTAAGTTTGGTCCTGTGGCTTGTGACATGGTACTTTCTGCAGATATTGTTGAACTTTCCTTACTGGTTGCTGACGGTCCTGGTGTAGATTTTGTTTCGACACTGGGCTTTGATAATGCAACTGTGCTTTCTGGACTTGTTGCTGTGTTCCTTGCTGTTGAACCTGTAGTTTCTGGAACTCTTGTCGTAGACATAGTTTTTGGTGGCTCAGTTTTCATTTCTGTCACTTCTGCAGATTTAGGGGTATATTAGTAATATTTACGATGACATATCACAGTGAATAATTTAAGTAACAGTCTGTAACTTTTAAAATATGTTAAGGAATGTTTTAACTTAAATGATTGTTACCTTTTGTAGTTATTTCAGCTGTGCTGAATGTAAATGGAGTTGTGGTTGGGGCAGCAGTAGTGCTTTCCAAACATTTGTAAAAGGATCTTGTTACGTTTCCATTTGCCCCACATTCAGCTGTCATGCAGTTTCCTAGTCCATCTGATGTGTTGTAAATGGTTTCTCCATAGTTGTAAATTTTCCCATTAATCATGCATGTACAAGCTGAAAATGAAGACCATTAATTTAATATTTTATACAAAGCAATAACTATGACAAAATATGAAATATTTTAGGAGATTTGTCTCATTTTTACTCACAGTTCACATCATAATCACACTGTGGTCCAGATAATGTACAGAAGCTGTAGAAATGAGGCAGTTTAGATTATTTTATTCTCATTGTGCTTTTACGGTAAGTTGAAAATGATAATATGTACAAAACTGACTTTTGAACATATTATGAATAAAAATTCATAAAACTATCTTTAGTCCTAATATTTAAACATGTATTATCAATGAAAAAATGACCAGCCCACATTTGAAACTGAATTCTTGCAGAAAGTTTAAGAAGGTGACTCTTTACGTACCAGTTATAACAGTTGCTGGATGGAACCTGCTCTCCAACATTGTGGTGGATTCCTTTGTCATCAAAACATCCACACTGATCCCAGGAAACACACTTCATTGTATCTTCATTAAAGAAAGGTTCGGCTTGGGGACACTTTGGATAGCAGCCTGTGGCACAAGAATTTATGCATTTTTTTTAGCTGTTTTTCAATTACAAACAATGGTGGAGAGAGTTCCACTAGTCCTCTTAAAGCAGAACTAACTTCTTATTTAGCAGATTAGCTTTTTTTGGCTAACTTTAGAAACCATGAATGGAGTGATTAGCTTCTGCTAATTCAGGTTCTGATAATTTTAAGTACAAAAATATTCACACATATTCATGAAATAAATAAAAACTATCTCCTCTAACAAGCAGTGCTGGATGTTTTACAGCTTGTGTAGCACGTAGCATTTCAAGCAGCTAAATGTGAAATTAAGAGCATCACAAAGAAACAAAATAACATTTAAACATATTTAAACACATACAAAAATTGACAACATATAAAATGTGGTAGAAAATGTATTTGCTATTTAACGTTTGACTAACTTCAAACAGTATTTATCAAAATATAAACTCAATCAAAGAAATTATTTTATTCTGAAAGGCCACAGATGATCCCACCCAACTTCAAATGAAACCAGTAGTAAAGTAACCAGAGGTTTGTGTCAGTCCCACCAGTCTTCATGGAGACTGACAGTCATATTAGTGGTTAGCATTAGCTTCCACAGTTTATTATCTGTTTAGCAGATTAGCATTAGCAGAGCTACGATTCTTGTTTCTCAGATAAGTGGTTAGTGAAAAAAAATTTTTGGTTAGCTGTGCCCATCTCTGATTACAGATTAAAATTGTATTTAAACCAACCAACAACTATATTACTAAAATATCAAGATGTTAATTATTGTTTACCTTCCATGGTGGTAGTGAGTTTGGAACAGTTTCCTGATGGATTCCTGCATGTCTTCATACAGTCAGCACCGCAGGGCTTGTAGTGCCACTCACAGCCTCCAAGTGAGTTGTAGTAGTCACAAAATATAGCTGTAGAACAAGAAAAACTCCTGATTGGGTCATGGTACTACCTGCAGTAATTCTACCTCAAAGACAACTAATTTTAGCTTCTAGATGTCAAACAAGAAGAGACGGACAGCAACTGTTTCTTTCAGGATGTTATGATGTTTTATATACAGTATATATACTGTATATAAA